ATTTTACATTCACACACATACGACATATAGAATTTTATTTGCATATGTGCATGTGCACATAACCAAATAATAGTTATAATATATAATATAATATAAATAAAGAAATAATAATTCATAGTACAAACTTACATTTTTATGAAAAATGAATTGTTTTTTTATGGAGAAAAACTCCAGAATGGTGGGGGATTAAGGCCGGATCCCCAACCTGTATATAGTCAATACCTAATGGGCCGAAAAAATTACAAGTCTACACATGTCCAAAAAAAAAAAGGAAATAAAAACGAAAAAAGGAAAAACACAACAACAAAAATGAAAAGTCTGAACCTGAGCTGACAGGTGTCCAACCGAGCAGTCTACACCAAAAAGTGGGCTAAAGCACAAAAAATACAAAACGACTACCGAAATCTAATTGAGGGGTAGCCTACATGATCCTCCGCACAAGAGTACGGAGGCGGAGGGGAACGTCGTCCGGGTAGAAAGTGTGCTTCTGGGTAGTAGAGGCATCGAGGCTAGCCAAGTAGTCAACTGATCAATTGTCTTGCGGAAGATATGCGAGATCCGGTAGCGAACCGACTGAAGTGTTTATACTAAGATTATGCTTAGTTCATTTGTACTTTATACAAGTGTTTATATTATCATATCTCGTTACATGGGTACGGAAATTCTGTTTATATATCAAACATAAAATTATAATAAAGGTAAAATAACATCGATGGCGGCAACATTCGATCTGGGACAAAATCTCATATATGACTGTTAGTCTTCTTCCTTGCGCATCTCCAGTGTCCCTTCACATCCAACCCGCGCACCTCAGCCCGAGATTTTTTCGACTACTTATGAGCAGCATGCAACCACCTCGCACCTTCAGACAACTCTCGCGAACATCCTGACACTCTCAGACTAGTCGTTCTCATCCCGCGTATCAGGCAAGGTTGAATCTGTATAGGCGAGCGTCTACCCGACCAGCTGCAGTCCGCTGTCATCCATGAGCGAGCAATCCTCAGCCGGCAGCCTTAGATGGTCGTGGCGGATGATGCAAGCTAGGCGATAACAATAAGCTTTCATCGAACCGTCACACTTGGCCCTGGAACCCTTTTGCGCCCAGCTCTGGAACCGTCACATTCAGCTTCTCGATTGAGGGCGACAGTGATGCCAATTTTTTGGACTTGGTGATATGCAGGATTAGAGATTTGGTGATTTGCATGAATTAGGGATTAAGGATTACGTATAAACATAAATTATTTTTAGGAATGTAGTATAGTTGCAAATAAAAATTATGACTAATATATGTGCAATTATTTAAGAAGTGCTACGACATATGTATTATATGTGTAAAAGGGTCTTATTCTTTGCAGTAGCCAGTGGCTTGTAAATTTGTGTGTCGTAGGTATGTGTTTATGTTTTCGTTGTTTTGTTCTTGTTCTTGTTTTATACTCTATTTATTGGAGTTGTCACTAGTGCTGTAAACGAACCGAATCGAATCGGGTTGTTCGAGGTCGAATTCGACTAATATTCGAGCTTGTTTGAGTTCATTCGTTTATTAGTCGAGCCTAAATTTATGTTCGTTAAGATCGTGTTCGTTCGTGTTCAGCTCGTTTAGCTAATCGAAATTATTTGAACTTTTCGAGCATTCGATTAGCTAGAATTGTTCGATCATCAAAACTTAAGAAATGCTTATTTATTATTTGTAAAAATCATGTTGTTTGCGGACACTCGTTTATATTCGTGAATGTATTCGTGTTCGTTCGAATAATAAACGAGTTGAATTACATGTTCGAGCTCGATTCGATTATTGAATGAACGAGCCTTAAACGAACACGAACAAACTCGAACGAGTTTTCGTTCGCGGACATTTGGTTCGTTTGTAGCAGGTCTCTATTTTTTGAGTTTTTTATTCTCTCTTTTGGAAGATTAGTAGTTGTGTGTGTTTTTAAGTTTGTGCACGAGTTAGGGGTGATTGTATATAAATTCAATAGTAAAATCAATCAACACTCAAATTTAATTCAATACACTATCCTCAATATTATCAATATAATTAAAAAATATCAACCAATCATTCTTACACATCACATCAACTTTAATTCACTATTCATTCACTCACATAATTCTAACTAACTATCTTCCAATCATTTTTCTCATACTTTACATCTAATTATTTTATTTAAATATTATTTTAATATATCCACTAACAACTTATCATATCACCTTTTGTCAAAATTAACTATGGTTAAAAAATAAATCAAATAAAAACTAATACAATCTATAATAGGGGTGGGCGCGGTCCGGGACGGTCCGGGATTTCACCTATCCCGGTACCTGTCCCGTTTTTTTGAGCCGTCCGGGACCGGTCCGGGATGAGACCCCGTCCCAAACGGATCGGTATCAATCCGGACCGGGACAAAACGGTTCGGGACCGGGTTAAAACGGGAAAAAAAAGTTCAAAATTCAAAGTTTCAAACTTTTCATTGTTTCACTGATGACGAACTGCAAACATTATATTCATGACTTAGTGATGAATTATAATTTAGATCATAGTCACCTAACTTGTGTTTTCATGCAAATGAGTAGATAAGAGAATATGTGTCGTGAGCAATATTCAATAGATGCAAATATAATGGTAAAACTTCGAAGCCTTTTCTTGTTTTTCATTAACTCAACTAAAGACTCGAGTTATGCAGATATTATATTGTCGTGAGCAATATTCAAGTGAATGCCCGTAAATATTAAATGGCCAAATGAGTATGTTTAAAGTTTAATTTTTTCATTTTTTGGGCCAACTGTAATGGGCTTTCATTAATAAAATACAAAGTCTTAAGCCTGTTAAGACTAAATTAAAATAGAACTGAAACTGTGAAACACCAACTTCAAACTTGTTAATATTAACATAAATATAAATAAAAAAATATAATATATATATCTATATATTATTTTTGTACATAAAAAATAAAACGGGACAAACGGGACGGTTTGGGAAAAAAATTATAAAAACCGAAACCGACATTGTTTCAATCGGTTCGGTACCGGGACGGTACGAAAATTTTAAAAACCGATTGGATCCCTTTTTTTCGGAACGGGACCATTTCGGTCCGGTTCGGGATCGGAAAATCCGGTTTTTTTTCCCACCCCTAGGAGAAACCCAATTTAATGCCTCCTTAGGGAACTAAGATTATTCATGCTTGAGATAGGGTACACGCACGCCGCCCCATGTGCTCTGTTCTCTCTCTTATGTTCTTTTCTTCTTCTCCAAGTAATCCAGTAGAGATAGATCCGATTTCATCGCCCACCAAGATGATCGGATTAGATGTCAGGTCATACAACAGAATATCTGTGGTTGTCGAAAAGACAGAATTGTGCAAATCAGATATATTGGAGTTAACTGGCAACTTCCGGTGACCACCCACCGGCGATCGACGCACTTCCAGTGACCGGCTGTCGCTGGACGCAACGGAGCCGGCCACCCACGCGGCGCCACACGTCGCCGATGCATTCCTGGAGAACTTCCACGAGCAGCCAGCACTTCCAGCGCCCATCCTGGCGCAGCCTAGGGAGACGACCTAGTTGACGAGGGAGCCCACCAGGAGACATGCGCGGCCCAGTCCAGAGAAGAGGAGGAGGCCCAACCTTACAGACCTGTCCATGCTGCAGCAGCAAAAGAAAGGAACTGCATGGGCCGCGCCGCCTGCGTGCAGCCCGCGCGCGGCCCGCGTTATTAAGAATCGTGTTTCTTGTTCCCGTTTGTGGATAATCGCGCACTAAGGGCTTTCAACTAAACACGATAGGTTGTGACTAAAGACGCACTCAGGGCCTTCTTGTACACAAGGTTGTATGATAAACACGCACTGAAGGCCTTGCTTAAACACACGAATGAACAAAACGTTCTTTTCTATTAACTCATCAACATATGAAAAACAATGGGGTAAGATCCTTATTTATAACTCCTAATTATCCTACTTCTAGTCTAACTAGAATTTTATTTAAAGCAATAAAATATTAAATCCTAACACTACTAGAATTATTAAAGCAACAAGGAAAGCAGAATC